GAAACCTGCTGTGGGGAGTGCACCGCCTCGATCTTGGCCAACTCCGCGGACAGGACCCTCTTCATCTGTTCATCGGACGTCTGGGCAACAGCGGCCTTCAATGAGGCCACGAGATCCTGACCCTCGATGGCGGACTGGGAGGTCTGAGAATTCTTCAGAATCGGCTTCGGGCTGGTGCCTCTCTTGACTAGATCGTTCTCAGGATTGGAGTCGAAACGAACACGCCATGGTGGGCCTCCTGGAGAAGTCGATCTGGAGCGGGATCTCCGGGGCACAGAAAATGCGAACTTGTCTGCAACATACCCTGCATTTCCGATCAGCACGTGGTAACACATCATTGTACTCGAAAGTGCCGCATCCACCACATTTCGAGAATAAGCATGACATCCTCGGCTTTCGCCGCCGCGAAGAACCTCTCTAGAAGGACGGTTGTCGCTGCGGCGCCCCCCAAGCGCTCCGTGGAAGCACCGAGGTCTGGGTCCCCTGGGACCACCAAAATGAGGACTCGACCCAAATGGCTTGAGCCAAAATGGCTACGGAGGAGGAGGAGGAGGAGGAGGAGGAGGAGGGGGGAGGAGGGGGAGGGGGAGGAGGTGAGGGGGAGGGGGAGGGGGAGGGGGATGGGGAGGAGGAGGGGAGGAGGAGGAGGAGGAGGAGGAGGAAGAGGAGGAGAGGGAGAGAGGAGGAGGAGGAGGAGGAGGGAGGGGGAGGAGGGGGGGGAAGCATCGAACTGGGGTCGGCAATGGATCGCCGATGGCTCGGCGATGGGCCCCCGACAGCAAGACCGCACGCTCCTGGGAGGGGCGGGCCAGTTGGCCCACATCAGCGATCAGGGGGCGATCGGGGGCCGAGGCGTCCCCCCCCCCCCTCCCGGACGCTCCTCTCTCCTCCTCCTCCTCCTCCTCCTCCTCCTCCTCCTCCCTCCTCCTCCTCCTCCTCCTCCTCCTCCCTCCTTCTCCTCCTCCTCCTCCCTCCTCCCCTCCTCCTCCTCCTTCCTGCTCCTGCCTGCTCCTGCTCCTGCTCCTGCTCCTGCTCCTGCTCCTCCTCCTCCTCCTCCTCCTCCTCCTCCCCCTCCTCCTCCTCCTCCTTCTCCTCTTCCTCCCCCTCCTCCTCCTCGCTCCTCGGCCGGGGGAGAGAGAGGGGGCGGCGAGGCGGGTGGCCGGGGGCCCCGGCTGGGGGCCTGGAAGCGGGCATCAGCACCAACACAGGGGGAGTGCTTCCACCAGGGGAAGACCCTCCCTCTCGGCCACCCAAGGAAGCTCGAGTAGTACCACCATCGCCGAGATCAAGCTCATCTTTCCTCGGCGAAGGCAGCCGCCGATGATGGTGCTGGTGCCAACCTCTAGACCTCCGGCCCGACCCCGTCGCGTCGTGAGCAATCTTCCGCATCAGCTCTGCGGGCGGTCGCGCGGCGCGGTCGACGACTACGCTGGGTCGCTGCAAAGGTGAGCTGCACTCGCGCGGGCGCCGGGGTCGTGAAGAAACCCCGACGAGACACCGTGGGCCACGTTCGGCCTCCAGGGGCCCTCGCTGGGCCCCAGGGCCGTCGGGAAACGGCCCAGAATCAGAGGCCAGGAAGGGGCCCAGACCCCGAGCCACGTCGTGGAACAACAATCTAAGCATGATGTCGGATGCCTCGGGCTCCGCGGAGGAGGTGGGGGGGCCTCACGCCCCCGTCGGCGCTGGAAACGAGGCCGTGTCGGCTGCACGCTGGAGGGGGCCGAGGCCCGAGGCACAGGTAGTAACCTTCGGTGCGCGGGCTGCCTGTCGTTGAGAACGCAATACAGCAGTGAACGGCCTGCGTGTTTGGGTCTGACCATCCACTGCCCCCCAGAAAGACGCGCACCAAAGGTCACTCCGGTGAAGAACCACTCTTGCACGTCGGTCGGAAGGAGTGAGTAAAACATGAAGCAGGAAGGCGGATCATGTGGATTGGGTCCAGGCCCTCCCAGAGAATAACAAGACACAGAAACGGCAAGCCGATTCTTGAGGTAGGAAGGCGCTTGAAAAAGATTGGGATCTGGGAATCCAGAAATACCTACCTTCAACGACCGGCGTGTACGTGTCACCGGATCTTTCCCCGATTTTCCCATGCCTCCAGCGTATCAGGAAGATCAAGGCCAGTGTTGGTTGTTCCATCATGCTCGCCCTCCGTGGGCCAGTCTGCCCAGGGGCCTCCAAAAAAGGATGCCCAGGGCAGGAGAAACTGCCCCAGTAAGGAGTCGCGGGCATCGGGGCCCACGCAGTGAACAGATCACGAGGTCGACGGCATAAGTGCCCCTCTCCCTCTCCATGTTTTGTCATCTTAGTGGGCCTACTTTCCAATACCACGACTAGATCAGGAGCGGCTGACCGATGCTATTGCTCTGCAGTGCTAGATGCGTCGCCGACAGATCAGCGATACTTATGTATATACAAACATATGTGTATATATATGTATTAATCACTCACAAGACCATAGTGTCCGAAGTTCCTCAAGACAAAACGAAACATTTAAGCTAAGGAACCCAGACGGTGCTCGCCTTATTGGGAGCCTTCGTGATGGGCGCCGCATACTTGACCGTGAGCGGCTCGGCTAAGAGAAGGCGAGCCCACAACCCAGCTCACCTCCGACCGCGGATGCGGCCTTTGCCGCCCCCTCTATATATACATGTATAGATATATGTATACCTATACGACCACCCTTCGGGTGATAAGGAGGTTCCCGGGGGGGGAGGAACGTCTCACTCGATCGGTCTCACTATCGATCTCACGATCGATCTCACTATCGGTCTCGCTCGATCGATCTCACTCGGTCGATCTCACTCGATCTATTTCATTCGATCGATCTCACAATCGATCTGACTATCGATCTCACAATCGATCCTCATCTACCCATGCAAGGCCGGCTCGCCTTCCAAGAAGCAGCCTCCTTCTAAAAAGCCCTCCCCCCTACCCCCACCCCCTTGTGCGCACCGCCAAGACACCCCACTCGAGCTTCGACCCTGAGGAGGGGAGGAGGGATAGACAGCCCTCTGTCTTGCCGCCCGAGGGCCTGCCCACGGACGCCTCCCTGCAGATATGGGAGTCTGGGAGGGCCCATTTCGGGAGCGGCAAAGAGGGGGTGTCCAAGAGGGGGGGGTGCAAATCATGACCGGCGGCATTTGCGCGGCCCAGCGGGGGGTCCAGGGACGTAATGAAATAAGAACAGGCGCTATAAAAGCTGGGGAAATATCATGGCCCCCGCCATGATATCCACCCCCCCCTAGTCATCACCCCCCTCTTTTCCGGCCCCGACCATTGCGGAGGGACGAGCATACCACGCAGTGCCTCTCTGCTGTCCCGAGGGAGGCTGCGACGCACTCCAGCCTGCGGCCCTCGGGGCTCGACCCTTTTGAGACAACCTCCGCGCCCGTCCACCCCCCCCCCCACGCTGCCCCGGGCCCTCTCCCCCGGGCAGGCCCGGCATGCCGCTCGGGGCCCGCGCGGCGCCGGGGCGCCTGCCCATCAGGCCCCCACGTGTTGGTGGTCTCCAAACCAGGTGGTGAGACACCCGGTGGTGACCCCGATTTCCCCAAAAAATAATTCTGGGTCACCACCAAGTTTGGGGACACGCGGTCGCCACGAGGTTTTGCGTTCCTTGGGCCAGCCAGCGCTCGAAAACCATTACCCAAATCGCCCAAAACTCACCACCGGGTGTTCTCACCACCACGTTTGGGGACCACCAAACGTGATTCCCTGAGCCGCCTCGCTGCCGGACCACCCCAACCCGACCCGAAGACCCGAACTTGACTCGAGGTTCGGGTTGGGGAGGGTACGGGTTCCATGTGTTTTTTCCACGTTCCCCGACCCCGCCCCACCGGAAATGGAGGGCAAATTGAGGCCTTCGGGTTGGGGTGGGGTCGTTTGGTGGGTGGTGATAAGCCGACGCCGGGCCGAGGATGACATTGGGTGAGGATGAATCGAGAATCTCTGAGACCTGGCGGCTCTGGAGGATGTCTCCGGTGCCGCGGCCTTCCCAGAGCGTTCTGAAATGCCCTGGGAGCTTTCCCGAACGCTCTGGAACGGACCTATCCTCGCCCGAGTCCCGTCCTGTTACCGTGTAAATCGAAACAACAGATACCGACGCCGCTGCTGCCTGGACCTCTCCCAAGGTGCGCTCGGACCAGAATCTCAAGTCGAGTCCAGCGGTGGCGACGAGAGCCTCCCAGGATGCCCAGAGAGGCGAATCCGAGGCAAGGGTAGCGACATCGGTACCCTTTCCTCCTCTGCGTCCTGAGGATCATCGACCCTACAGTCGGGACGTTGAAGTAAAGAACGACAAATAAGGAACGGAATCCCTTTTCTTTTAAGTCGAACCGTGAAGTCCGAGGGAAGGGCCGTCGAGTCCGAAGGCGCACCGAAGGGGCTCGCCACCCATGAAGCCACGCACACAAACGTGAAGAACCACCGCGCCCCCTCCGCCCTCAAACTGAACCGCATTTCAAACAAATGATTGAATCCTTCGGGAAGGCCTGGTCGCCGATTGGCCCCGTGGCCGACAGGTGGCTGCACAGCGGGTGCCTGCTCAGCGGGTGCCAGCCGTGCGTCGAAGCTGCGTCGAAAGTCCGTCGGCTCGAGTCGAACCTGAGTTGGACCTGAGTCAACCTGAACCGAACCCGAGTGGAACTTGAGTCGAACCTGAGTCGAACTAGAGTCGAAGCCGAGTCTAACCTGGGTGTGGAACTTGGGTCGAAACTGAATCGACCCTGGACCGACCGTGTGCCGCAACCTGGTGGAAGCCTGCATCGAACTCGAGCCGAACCCGAATCGAACTGGAGGCGAACCTGAGTCGACTTGGAAGCGAACTAGGACGAGGAGGAGGAGGAGGAGGCGGAGGCGGAGGCGGAGGCGGAGGAGGAGGTGAGGAGGAGGAGGAGGAGGCGGAGGAGGCGGAGGAGGAGGAGGAGGCGAAGAGCAGATAGGCCCCCAACAAGGCCCTCGAAACGAGCACCAGAACGACCCTCTCCCTCGATTGGGGCCTGGCCGCCGATCGGCCCCGCGGTTGACAGGTGCCTGCTGGGCCCATCTTCCACCACCACCACCACCACCGCATGGAGGAGGGGGAGGAGGAGGAGGAGGAGGAGGAGGAGGAGGAGGAGGAGGAGGAGGAGGAGGAGGAGGTGGAGAAGGAGGAGGAGGAGGAGGAGGAGGAGGAGGAGGAGGAGGAGGAGGAGGAGGAGGAGAGGGAGGAGGAGGAGGAGGACCCCCTCCCCACCTCCGACTTGTGGTGGCGGTGGTGGAAAACTGGCCCAACTGTGCCTGCTCAGCGGGTCCCGGGACTCGTCGGGAGTGCCGTGCGGCAGCGCCGCGTAGGCGAAGCGGTCCACCAGCGCGCGCCTTCCGCGGGGGGCGGAAGCTGCGGCTCTGCCGCCGCCGACCCCTGCCGTGCTGCTGGGGGCCTTCCCCCGATGGGGCACACGCTCGCATCCGGAGGAGGAAAGGGTACAATCACCTGCCTGACCTAAGGAAAAGTAAATCGGAAGCCGGGCAAGGGCTGCTAAATCCGTGGCTGCTAAAATCGACCTCCGGGAAGTTGTCTTCGTCCTTCCGGGAAGAAGCCCGTTGACTGTTTCGCGTGCCGCGCCTCGTTCCCGGAAGTTGTTTTTTCCGGGGCCGTTGTAGCAGCCACGGTGTTAGCAGCCCTCGCCCAGCTTTCGAACAAATAATGAACAAATGATAAACGACGTATGAGGAAGGAGACATGGCGCATGCAAGCCTGAGGAACGATCGAGCCCCTTTTGAAAAGCAAGTGTTCCTTATTCAAGCCGCTCACTGTACTCTGGGTGATTATAATACACAGGAACAAACAATGACATAAACATGAAAACTCTGAGGTCTGCGCGGATTTCTTGGATCCGTGCTGGGCCCCCCTGGCGGCGCCTCCGGCGCCGCCCCTGGCGCGCTCCGCACGCAAGGGCGGGGGGGGTCCAGCGCCGATCCGAGAAATCCGCGCGACCTCCTAAATTTTATGTTAGTGTCATTATGTGGGCTTCTTTGGGGATGGACAGAACCCCCTTTAGTAAAACGTGGTTTAACGAAAACGACCTCGGGCCCAAACCTGGCGGGCGCAGGCCTGGAAAATGACGGCCGCGGCGCCCCCTCGAGAACCGAAAACGGACAATTCACTATTCGACGTGTCAGTGTGGGGGTTCTGTCCACCCCGATTTCTTAATAAGCGTGGGGGGGTAAGTACCCCCCGACGGGGGTTAACCTCGCCTCGTCGTCGCGGGGGTCGGAGCGCCTTCGGCGCGCGGTAGCTGCCCGCGACGGGGGTTCGATGTGGAGCTGTCGGCGGGGGTGACGCCCCTCCGACGCTCATTAAGAAACTCGGAGTACCGATTTCGCTACCCTTGCCTCGTGTTCGCCTCTCTTGGCCTCCTGGGAGGCCCTCGTCGCCGCTGCTGGCTCGGGGCGAAGCTCTGGTCAGAACGCACCACGGGGGAGATCCGGGCAGCAGCGGCATCGGAATCTTTCGGCGAAAACCAAGCATGGATCACAATTAACTGATACAGTCCAGGTGGATTGGAGAGAACACGCGAGAGGACACGAGACCCTTCCGATGGCCACATTGCCAGTGGAACATAAAGGGCATGGGTCGCGAAACACAGGACCCAAGGTCTCCTTGCTTGGGCAGGGTCGACCTCCTAATCAAACTCGACTGTTAAGTGAAGATGCGCGGTAAGGATGCAAAGGGCCTTGGAAAGCCATGTTCATGTTTTTCGAGTGGGGCGCGGACTGCGAAAACGGACGAGGAGGGGCCGAAGAAGAAGGATGCAGGGGCACATTTGGCCCTCGGAAAATCGCTCCTCCTTGCAGTGCGGGCTCGCCGTACTCATCCGTGGATTCCCTCGGATCGGGCACACGCTGGCACGGATTGCACACCGGCCGCGCAGCCTGCGTTGGCACCGCGCCGCGTCCGGGTCGAATCCGTCCAGAGCATTGCCCGGGGAACCGCGAGCGGAACGCTGCCCGGATCAACAAAAAAATGCTCGGGCGCCACGTCCCAGGGCTAGGGGGCCAGATGCGGACCCTACCCCTACCCCCCACGGTTTCTGAGGGGGAGGGTGGGGTTCACTTCGCTCGCCCTCCCGAGCGAAGTGAACCCCACCTCCCCCTCCCCCCCAGAAATCGTGGGGGGTATAGGGTCCGCATCTGGCCCCCTTTGGGCTCCCCCCGAGGTCCGAGAGGTCCTCTGGGGGCCCGGGGCCCCGAGGCCCTCCGGCCTCGTGGCCCCCGCGGGGCCGGCAGGCCGCCCACGGACATAGACCTATGGGGCGCTCCGACGCCGGGGGGGGTAGGGGGGGAGGTAGGAGGGGGAGGAGGGGGAGGGGGAGGAGGGGGAGGAGGAGGAGGAGGAGGAGGAGGAGGAGGAGGAGGAGGAGGAGGAGGAGGAGGAGGAGGGGAGGAGGAGGAGGAGGAGAGGAGGAGGAGGAGGAGGGGGAGGAGGAGGAGGAGGAGGAGGAGGAGGAGGAGGAGGAGGAGGAGGAGGAGGAAGATGAGGAGGAGGAGGGGGGGGGAGGAGGAGGAGGAGGAGGAAGAGGAGGAGGGAGCGGGGGAGGGGGGGGGGGGGGGGGGGGGGGCAAAATGGGCGTCCCTGGGCACACTGCAAGGTCGGCCGCCCTCCAGGGCCAGTGCAAGCGACCCTCGGGCAGCTCGGCCCACAACTGCCACGGAGGGCGAGGTTCGTTCCTCTTCGCCCTCGGCTCCGCCCTCTTCCTTCACCCCCGCCTCCTCTTGCTCCCCGCTCACCCCAACCTGTTCCGCATCCCCCTCGCATCGTGCATCATATGCTGGGGCGGCAGCATGCCGGGGGAGGCCACGCTGACGTCAAGCAGCTGCTTTCCCGCCGAACCAGGCCAACCAGCCTGAGCAGCCAGCGAGAGCTTCATCCGACCAGCCAGCAAGCCAACTAAGCGCCTAACCAACGGGCCAACCAACCAAGCCTGCCTCCAGCCTACCTCCTTGAAGGGGCCCTGGGACACACAAATGAATATACACAAATAATAAGAAGATTTCCCATATTTTCCATATTTTCTGGGTTTCTGTCTTCCCCCCCATGTCCCATATTTTCTTATATTTTCCGTGGAATAGACGATTAATCGTGTCTGTGTGTTTTGTCCCCTCCTGACCCCTCGCCCAGGGACTCAGTCTAGTAGAGCGATCCGACGCCCGGGGCGGCAAAAATCCGCGTCTCTGGGCGGCGACGCGCCCTGCGGTCTGGGCCAGAGGCCAAGCCTACCAGGTCTGGCCATCCACCAGCGGCCTGATCCGACGATCCAGCCAAGCCGCGCCGACCAGCCAACCCGCCAAACGTGCCCAAGGACTGCGAATTCGGATGCCCTGGGGCGGGAAGCCCGCAGCGCTATCGCCCGAGACTCCGCTCCCACCTCCGCCCGGGGACGTAGATTCTGGCGGTGTGGCGCCGGCGGGCCCCGAATCGCACGTTCCTGGGTCGCTGCGGGCCCACAAGGGCCCCAGGCCGAGGTCGCTCGCGCGCCTCCACAAGACGGCAATTCTTGCAACTGTCCGGAACAACCGTTGTCCAGAATGTTCGGGACATTGTTCGGTGCCAACACTGCACGCAGGCTCATCTCTATCAAGGGTGCGTAGCAACCGAAACCGTGAGCGAAAGTGCACCCGAGTCTGACCTGACCGAAACCAGTGCCCGAATGTGCCCGAACGCGCCCGACCGATGTTGGTTGGCTCGGATCCCATACTCACGATTTCCAATTCCGGTCACACTGCGTTTCGGTCATCATTTCGGGCACCTCTACGCTTCCGGCCGCGAGCATCCTCGCCTGCTTCGGCTGATGCGGGCCAGGCGGCGCCACGCTGGCCGTGGATCTGGCGCGTGGGCACCGGACCCACGGCTGGGGAAGGCACCCCCCGAAGCAGGAAGCCGCTGCTGGATGCTCCTCCTCCTCCTCCTCCTCCTCCTCCTCCTCCTCCTTCCTCCTCCTCCCCTCCTCCTCCATCCTCCTCCTCCTCCTCCTCCTCTCCTCCTCCTCCTCCTCCTCCTCCTCCTCCTCCTCCCTCCTCCTCCTACTCCTCCTCCTCCTTCCTCCTCCTCCTCCTCCTCCTCCTCCCTCCTCCTCCTCCTCCCTCCTCCTCCTCCTCCTCTCCTCCTCCCCTCCTCCTTCCTCCTCCTCCTCCTCCTCCGCCTCCTCTCTCCTCCTCCTCCTCCTCCTCCTCCTCCTCCTCCTCCTCCTCCTCCTCCTCCTCCTCCTCCTCCTCCTCCTCCTCCCCCTCCCCCTCCACACTCGTGGGGGGTGGGGGGGGGGGCCGGGCTCACATGTGGTCACCGACTTGCCGCCCGACTATGGCGACGGAGCGCGCCAACTCTGTACGGAACAGGGAGTCCGTGTCCCTCCCGCGCGCCTCGATCCATGCGTGCGCCGCTTCGACCGCAGGGGGGCTCTCGGACGCTCGTGTAGGAGCCCTTGGAGGCGTTCCAGCCTCGGGGTGCTCTCCTGCAGCTTGAGCGCTCCGCGGGGGTCCCATATCGTCCCGAACGGCCGCGCGAGACCCGAGTCGAAAGCTGGACCTCCCGGCGCGTCGCGGAAAAGTACAGTCGGAATTGTGTGGTTGTCTCACTGGGGCATGGGACCGTCAGCAAACGACGCGGGATGAAAGGGTCCAGACATCTGGGGAGCCACATTGCGAAAAATTACATGCCGTCAGATGTCTGGGTCGCTTTGAATCCGAAGCGCTGCGAGTCGCCTCACCTCCTCCGGCTCTTCCTCCTCGTTCCTCCTCGTATTCCTCCTCCTCACCCTCCTCAGCAGCAGCAGCACCATAACCAGCGTCACCATCACCAGCATTACCATCACCCTCATTCCCACCATCAGCATCAACATACTCAGCATCATCATCATCATCATCATCATCATCATCATCATCATCATCATCTTCATCAGCAGCAGCATCATCATCAGCAGCATCTTCATGATCATCAACATCTTCAACCACAACCACAACAACAACCAGACTAACGACAACCTCAACAGCAAACGCAACAAGCACAGCACCAATAACAACACCCACAACAATAATAGCAACGACGACAACAACAACGACAACATCGTCGTCAGTATCAGTATCAGTATCAGCCTCAAGCTCAACATCATCATGACCACAATCCTCACGATAACCACCAGCGGCATAATCAGCATCATCACCATTACCGACATCGCCATCAGCCACATCATCATCATCATCATCATCATCATCATCATCATCATCAGCAGCATCATCATCATCATCAACATCAACATCATCATCATCATCATCAGCATCATTACCATCAACATCATCATCAGTATCATCCGCATCACATTCGTCGTCACCATCGTCACCATCATCAGCATCGCGCCAGTATCGTGTTAGTACCAGCATCAGCATCAGCATCACCAGCAGCATCAGCAGTATCAACAGCACCACCAATATCTTTAGCAGCCTCATCGTCGTCTTCATCATCAAACTCATCATCACCATCAACAGCATCATCATCATCAGCATCATCATCAGCATCATCGTGAGCATCATCATCCTCATCATCATCCAAATCATCATCATCATCATCATCATCATCATCATCATCATCATCATCATCGTCAGCATCATCAACATCATCATCATCATCATCATCATCATCATCATCATCATCATCGTCGCCATCATCATGGTCAGCATCGTCATCATCATCGTCGTCAGCACCACCAGAACCATCAGCATCAAAATCGCAGTCATCACCAGTATCGTCATCATCACCGCCTACACCATCATCGTCATCATCATCATCACCACCATCATCATCCTCAACATCATCACCACCGTAATCACAGCATTCTGTGACGAACCACGTGGGTATGATCAAAGCTTGGTCACAGTCCAGCAGAGTGGCCACCAGAGCTGTTAATGAGGACCACTCACGTCGCAAACGAAGTGACCTGTTAGAACAGGAGGTGACACACGAATGGGCAAGCTGATGAGAACGACCCAGGGGAACATCTCAGATCGCGCCGCAACCTGCTCCTGGCAATAGGAGGTGCGGCTGCTGAATATGGGGCGGGTGGGGGCGGCTGGGAGGGGTTGGGTGGTGGGGGTGCTCGACTCGGCGCCTCGTACCGACCTGGGGGACTCCGCTGCTGCTCTTGTCGGACTCGGGGCCAAGACGGCCCTGGAGCCTGCCCGAGCTGAGCGCGAAGAGACCCTTGCCTCGGCGGCCGAAGGCCTCGAGTGCGACGACAGCCCTGCAGGAGTCCGCCCGCTCCCTTTCGAAAGGTGGGGCCGGAGTGGCGGTGTAATGCGTGCGCCCAGCTGGCGCATGCGAGCTGACTGCTCGATTTCTGCCGCACTCCCAAGGGCTCCCAGCTTCGCGCTTCGCGCTGCGCGAGGAGCGAACAACTTCGCGCCCTCGCGCCGCCTCCCAAGGGAGAAAGGGAGGATGAGGAGGACACGGAGCCGAACCGCGAGGCGCGAAGCGCGAATAACTTCGTGCCCTCGAGGGCGCCCTTGCACTCCGTGCTCCCCGCCGCCTGCCCCGACTCCGAGCCCCACCCCAGTGCTGCGCCAGGCCCCCAGAGTCGGGGGGCACGCAAGCATGGATTAGCGATCCGTGGACTTGGCGCGCGGTCGCCAAATCCATGGATCGGGGGAGGTGCCCTCCCCAAAATGCGGCCGGTGCCGCCTCGCTCGGCAGCAGAAATCCGCGATTTCCCATGGAGACGGGACCCGTCGCTAATCCACGCCCCCTTGATCCATGTCTGCGATCGCCTGACAGAGGGCTGCTGAAGCGGTCGGGGTGACCTGTCTGGGGGGGAGCGGTGGCATCATTCGCACAGGCTTGGAGAGTGGAGCAAATCTTGCATTAGGTCGGGCATGTCCCCCTACAGGCGGATTTGTACGAGAAATCAAAAATTATAGCCGGAGTGCAGTATCCCCAAACAGGGTTTTTAAACCCACTGCGGTTTCCAAGGTCGATTGCGTGCCCGTCCAGTGCGGGCTGGCATGGCAGGGTAGAACATGATAACATGATGTTTGCACATGAGATGTTTGCACATGAGATGTTTGAACATGAATATGTGTGACGCATGCCTCTCAGGAAGCTAGCGCTTGAGGGTGTCGTACTCGTTCCCTCTTCCCTCCTTCGCACCTGGTCGACGACAAAACTGTCGGGTCGGCACTGTCACAGGCTCTACCGCTACGCTGTGAACTCGGAAGCAACTTTAAGAGGAAACGGGGAAGGGCAACTACGGCGGCGCGCGAAACGGGCCGCCGTAGTCATAACAAAGCACCCGTGCGAAGAACCAGTCCCGGGGATGAGATCGAGAGGTCAGCGGGCGCACGTCTCGAAACAAAATCGTGACGTCTGATGTCTGGGGAGGGCGGAAGGCAGGGCGTGCATGACGGATGCTGAGGCGGCAGAAATGACGAAGGCGGGGACGGGGAGGCGGAGGCACAGGCGCAGCAGCGGGAGGCTGGAGGCGGGAGAAGGAATGAGAGAGGAGGATGTCTCAGGCGAAACGGGCCAGAGAGAGGAGGATGTCTCAGGCGAAACGGGCCAGACCACCTCTCGCACGGCATCTCTGAGCCCAGAGTTTGGGGGATGTCCCAGGCGAAATGGGCCGGACCACCTCTCGCACGGCATCTCAGAGCCTAGAACTTCGAGGATGTCTGATGCGAAACGGGCCAGACCACCTCTCGCGCCGCATCTGGGAGCTCAGACTTGCGAGGACGTCTCAGGCGAAACGGGCCGGACCACTCCTCGCGCGGCATCTGGGAGCTCAGAGTTGCGAGGATGTCGCAGGCGAAACGGGCCGGAATACCTCGCGCACGGCAACTCAGAGCCCAGAGTTTGGAGGATGTCTCAGGCGAGACGGGCCCGACCACCTCGCGCGCGGCCTGTCAGCCCAGAATTTCGAGGAGGTCTCAGGCGAAAAGGGCCAGAAGACCTCGCGCGCGGCATCTCGGGGCTCAGAGTTTGGAGGATGTCTCAAGCGAAACGGGCCAGACCACCTCTCGCGCGGCATCAGAGAGCGCAGAGTTGCGAGGATGTCTCATGCGAAACGGGCCAGACCACCTCGCGCACGGCATCTCGGAGCCCAGAGTTGCGAGGAAGTCTCTGGCGAAATGGGCTGGACCACCTCTTGCGCGGCATCTCAGAACTCAGAGTTGCGAGGATGTCTCAGGCGAAACGGGCTGGACCACCTCTTGCGCGGCATCTCAGAGCTCAGAGTTTCGAGGATGTCTCAGGCGAAATGGGCTGGACCACCTCTTGCGCGGCATCTCAGAGCTCAGAGTTTCGAGGATGTCTCAAGCGAAACGGGCCGGACCACCTCGCGCACGGCATCGGGGAGATCAGAGTTTCGAGGATGTCTCAGGCGAAACGGGCCGGACCACCTCTCGCGCGGCATCTTGGAGCTCAGAGTTTCGAGGATGTCTCAGGCGAAATGGGCTGGACCACCTCTCGCGCGGCATCTCAGAGCTCAGAAGTTCGAGGATGTCTCAAGCGAAACGGGCCGGACCACCTCGCGCACGGCATCGGGGAGATCAGAGTTTCGAGGATGTCTCAGGCGAAACGGGCCGGAGCACCTCGCGCGCGGCAACTTGGAGCTCAGAGTTGCGAGGATGTCTCAGGCGAAACGGCCCGGACCACCTCTCGCGCGGCATCTGGGAGCTCAGAGTTTGGAGGATGTCTCAAGCGAAACGGGCCGGACCACCTCTCGCGCGGCCTCTCAGAGCTCAGATTTAGGAGGATGTCTCAGGCGAAACGCTCAATCCCGGACAACTCAGAAACGAGAGTTGTGAGGATGTCTCAGGCGAAACGGGCCGGACCACCACATTTGTTTGCGGATGTCTCTGCTTAGCTTTCCCTCGGCCGGAGTTAGCTTCTATCACAACAGCACCCCGTTCAGCAAGCTGTTTGGGGAAAAACCCAAAAATGCTCAAACATACGATAGAAAATGTTCAAAACATCGTCCCTGGACTATTTTTTTGACTAGTGTGGACTATTCCTGCTGTAGAGGGACATGCCCGACGTAAGTCTTGCATGAACATCTGCCACGAGTGTGGCCTGGCCGCGTTGCCGCCGTGGACTCTCGACACCTGGAGGTGGCCTGTCTTGGGCCGCTTCGCAGAGGTGCCGAGAACTAACCTCGAGCTCGCAGGGGCTGCATCCCAGACGGGTGGGCCCCCAGAGTGCGTCCTCGAAGCGATGCTTCGCCAGGAGGAGACCGACCAGGCGAGGCCCCACAGCCTGGGGCTACAGTGAGGTAGCTCGTTCGACCTGAGACGATAGTGAGCTCGAGACTGACTTCGAGTGCACTCGATCGCCCGTAATGGGGGCGATAGTGAGCTCGAGGACGCGGTAAGCCACTGTCGTCACCGCGCCCTTTTCTGTCCACGTTTCGCCGGTCCTGCCGTGAAGGCCGGCGAGCGAGTGGGGGACCCGCCAGATTTGAAGCCTCCCGCCCTCGCGTCCTCCTCCCCAAACAACAGCCGACGTCGTGATTTTCCACGACGTGGCTCCCCTGATGTCTGGACCCCGGACCCGCTCCTCATCCCGAGTGTTCGGTCCCAGGGGCCCGGTGAGCTCCTCTGGAGGCCGAAAGCTGCCAAATACGTTTCATCGTGATGTCCGCGCGACACGACGATCAGAGGAGCAAGAAACAGAAGAACGTACATCAATTTCCGGAGGTCCGCACGGATGTCTTGTATCGGCGAAGACCCCCCCTCCCTGAGGCGCGCCAGGGGTGGCACAGGAAGCGCCGCCACCGAGGACCTTCGACCATTTATCTTTGAGCATGTGTTGCTTCCTCCGAGTCCGGGCCCTCTCCCGTGCCGAGGCCTCCCTGGGCGTGCGTTCTGACCAGAAGCTCGGAGCGAATCCAGCCGTCGCGGCGAGGTAAGGGCAGCGGCAACGGTACCTTGACTCCCCCCTCCTCCCCTAGGGGAACGACGAACGACATAAACATTTCAACCTGGAGATCCGCGCGGATTTCTCGGATCGGCGCTTGACCCCCACCTCTGGCGCGCGGAGCGCGCCAGGGGCGGCGCCCGAGGCGCGGTCAGGGGGGGGCCCAGCACCGATCCGAGAAATCCGCGCGGACCTCCGAATTGTTATGTTTCGGTCGTTCTTCGTTCCCCTGTCCTCCTCCTCCTCCTCCTCCTCCTCCTCCTCCTCCTCCTCCTCCTCCTCCCGTGCCCGGGCCTGACGAAGATCTGCAACAGGTGGCCCTCGGGGTCCCTGCCGGTGACCTGGGGCAGCTCGTGCTTGCGGGCGAGCTCCATGACCCTGCGGGCCAGCCGCGGGACGTCGCCTGGAGCGTCGCCGCGGCGCGGCCCCCAGGGCCCCAAACAAGAGGCGGAAGAGAAGGAGGACCAGTGCAAGAGGCGGAACAAGAGGCGGAAGAGGAGGAGGAGAAAGAGGAGGACCAGTGCAAACCCAAGACTCGTCAATGATGTTGGAATACACCCTCCCTCCAAACTCCCTCTTCACAGGCCTCTACAAGGGCTCCGTTTCACTAAAGCACTTGCCCCGTTGGGGGACAACTTTGAAAATCCTGAAGCGTGCCAAGACACCACAGGACTTCTACGCCACGAGTCAACCTGACTCTTGCGTCTTGACCATCCTGAATCGCGCCAGAACACCATTCCTGGGGCTTCAACACCGCGAATCAACATAGCTGTTGTGCCTGGACAATCCTGAATCGTTCCATCAAGTCTTTTCTGGTACGTAGACCATGAGAACGACTGAAACTCCAGCATCTTGAGAAAGAACGCTCGCGGGGCTGAGGCGAGAACCACACTCTGAAAACGACCCCCCCAATCCATGAAGTTCTTGCACCTTGTTAAAACGAATGCGCGCGGCGCTGGGGGGCACATCTTGAAAAACCACCCGCCCTCAATCCGTGAAGCTCTTGAGGCTGTTTGAGACGCATCTGCGCGGCGCTGGGGCGGGGCGCACCTTGAGAGAATGGCCCGCCCTCCGTGCGTGAAACGACTGCGGCTGCCGAGAACGAATGCGCCCCGGGGCTAAAATGAGACCCGACTGTTGCAAACGACCCGCCCTCAGGGGGAAGAAGAGAGGAGGAGGGGGAGCCAGGGGGTTCGAGGAACTGCTCGGAGCTTGTCTCCAGCTTCCGGCGGCTCACAACGGCTTTCGGAAGCGTCCGAGGCCTCTTTCCAGGCCCAGAGAGGAAGAAGGGGAGAGGGGATGGGAGGGCCCCCAATCCGTCAAGCTCCTACGGTTTGTTAAGGCGACAGTGCGACGCCAAAGCGGGCACCACGTTCTGAGAACGGGCCGCCGTCCATCCGCGAAACACTTGCAAACTCGAAGCTTCAAAACAGAGATGGTGAGGAACTTTCAGGCGAAACGCCGGGCCCGCCCTTACGTTTGGCTATGGAGGAGGAACAGGAGGAGGAAGTGGACCACTGCAAACCCAAGACTCACCAACGGCATTGCAACACACCCTCCCTCCAAATTTCCTCCGCATAGGCCCCTACACGGATTCATGCCCACAGAGAAAACGTATGGGAACACGACCGTTTGAAAATCCAGAATTGTGCCTGAACTTCATTCCTGCGACATCAACGCCGCGAATCACAGTTCCTGTTGCGTCTTGACGATCCTGAACCGTGCCAGAACACCGTTCCTGGGACTTCAACACCACGGATCAATGTGACTGCTGCGCCCTGACATTCGGGCATCGTGCCAAAATACCGTTTCTGGACGGTTACCCATGAAAATCCATGACACGGTTGCACACTCCTACGACGAGTGTGCACGGCGCTAGGGCGAGAGCCACATGTTCTAAACCAACCGCCCTCAATGCGCGAGACTCTTGCGAACTTTTAGAACACATGTGCGCGGCGCTAAGGCGAGAACCACATTTTGCAAACGACCCGCCCTCACCCTGTGAAACTCTTGCGAATTGTTAAAACAAGAATGCGCGAGGCGCTGCATCGAGAACCACATTTTGAAAACGGGCCGCCCTCCATCCGTGAAACACTGTAAGTTCCCCAACCATAGATGGTGAGGAAGTCTCAAGCGAAACGCCCGGCCCGCCCTTTCGAGCGGCCGCGGTGTGCGACAGGGAGACGTTGTTCATAAGGGAAAGGAATTGAGAAGGATCAGGAGAGGAAGAGGAACAGCAGGTCCTCCTTATCCTCCTTATCCTCCTCCTCCTCCTCCTCCTCCTCCTCCTTGTCCTCCTCCTCCCCCTCGTCCTCCTCCTCTCCATCCCACTCCACTGGACTCGAAGCGACCGAGGCCCTCAATCTCCCCACCCCGCCACCGTCTCAGTATGGACGGACAGCATGCTTCGCCCCTCCCCCACCTCCTCCCGTGGTTATGTATATCGGAGGTTTGGGGCTGAGATCGCAAAAAACGGAGACCCCCAACTGGGAAACCGTTTCGTTTTGTTTGTGTCGTGCGTGCGGGCGAGGCGAAACTGCGTGGGCGCGCGAGAGAAATGAGCCCGCCGTTGCTGGGGCGAAGTCAAGACAAATGTTTCTCCTCCGTCCGTCCGTTCGGCGGTGGCCCTAGCAGTGTCCCGTGGTGTCCCGTTGATTGAGATCGATACTGAAATCGATAGTGAGATCGACGTGGTGTCCCGAGATGTCCCGTGGTGTCCTATGGTGTCCAGCTGAGTGAGATCGATAGTGAGATCGAAAGTGAGACCGATAGTGAGATCGACAGGTGTCCCGCGGTGTCCCGTGGTGTCCCGTTGAATGAGATCGATGGTGATATCGATCGTGACATCGACAAGTGTCCCGTGGTGTCCTGCTGAGTGAGATCGATAGTGGGACCGATTGAGTCAGATGTTGGTTCCTTCCCCTCGCCCCCCCACAACCTCCTTATCACCCGAAAGAGGTCCTATGTTTAAAAGTATGGGAAGTTGGGGGGTGAGATCGCAAAGGAACGGAGACACCCAACCAGAAAATCGGTTCGTTTTGTTTGTCGTGCGTGCGGGCGAGGCGAAACTGCATGGGCGCGCGAGAGAAATAAGCCCGCCGTTGCTAGGGCGAAGTCAAGATACATGCTTTTCCTCCGCCCGCCCGTCCGGCGGTGGCCCGCGGTGTCCCGCGGTGTCCCGTGGTGTCACGTGGTGTCCGCCGCTGCTAGGGCGAAGTCAAACCAAATGTTTATATCCCGCCCGCCCGTACGGCGGTGGCTCGCGGTGTCCCGCGGCGCCCCGTGGTGTCCCGTGGTGTCCCGTGGTGTCCCGTTGAGCGAGATCGATAGTGAGATCGATAATGAGATCGATAGTGGGATCGATAGTGAGATCGATACTGAGATCGATGTGGCGCCCCGAAGTGTCCCGTGGTGTCCCAAAAAGTGAGATCAATAGTGAGATCGCTAGAGAGATCGACGTGGTGTCCCGAAGTGTCCCGTGGTGTCCCGTGCTGTCTCGTTGAGTGAGATCGAAAGTGAGATCGTTGTGGTGTCCCGAAGTCTCCCGTGGTGTCCTATGGTGTCCCGTTGAGTGAAATCGATCGTGAGATCGAAGGTGAGACCGATAATGAGATCGAGAATTGTACCGCGGTGTCCCGAGGTGTCCCGTGGTGGCTGGTGGTGCTGTGGTGCCCCGTTGAGTGAAATCGATGGTGGGATCGATAATGAGATCGGCAAGTGTCCTGTGGAGTCCCGTGGTGTCCCGCCCGCGGTGTCCCGTTAAGTGCGATCGATAGTGAGATCGATTGAGTCAGATGTTGGTATCCCCCCCGTCCCCCCCACACAACCTCGTTATCACCCGAAGGGTGGTCGCATAGGTCAGAGTGAGGGGGCTGAACCGAACGGTCATTCACTGTCCCTGGGTGCGTGACTGAAGTGCAATTCCGCGATGCAGATTATGTTGTTGTTGGTGTTGTTGTTGCTGTTGTCGTTGTTGTTGTTGATGTTGTTGTCGTCGTCGTCGTCGTTGCCGTTGTCGTTGTCGTTGTTGTTGTTGTTGTTGTTGTTGTTGTTGTTGTTGTGTTTGTTGTTTGTTGTTTGTTGTTTGTTGTTCGTTGTTTGTTGTTGATTGTTTGTTGTTTGTTGTTTGTTGGTTGTTGGTTGTTGTTTGTTGGTTGTTGATTGTTGATTGTTGTTTGTTGTTTGTTGTGTGTTGTTTGTTGTTTGTTGTTTCTTGTTTGTTTGTTGTTGGTTGTTGTTTGTTATTTGTTGTTTAATGTTTGGTGTTTGGTGTTTGTTGCCTGTTGTCTGTTGTCTGTTGTATGTTGGTTGTTGGTTGTTGGTTGTTGGTTGTTGGTTGTTGGTTGTTGTCGTGCCACCCGCGACCAACCCGCGACCTATCCGCGACCCACCCCGCGACCCACCCCGCGACCCACCCGCGACCGACCCACCCCGCGACCCACCCGCGACCCACCCCGCGACCCACCCGCGACCCACCCGCGACCCACCCGCCACCCACCCCGCGACTCGCCCGCGACCTATCCCGAGACCCCCCCGGCGACCACCCGCGACCCACCCACGACGACCCACCCCCGCGACCCACCCGCGACCCACCCGCGCGACCCACCCGCGACCCACCCCGCGACCCACCCCCGCGACCCACACCCCCGCGACCCACCGCGACCCACCGCGACCTACCCCGAACCCCCCCGGCGACCCACCCGCGGACACCCGCGGCGCGCACCCGCGACCCACCCCGCGACCCACCCGCGACCCACCCACCCCGCCACCCATCCAAAATGCTCGGCGCCTGCGGCGGGCTTCTTTTGCATTCGTTCCAAGGAGAACCTGCGACCCAAACCGCGACCTAAACCGCGCCCGCGACCCACCCGCGACCCACCGCGACCCACCCGCGACTCACCCAAAATGTTCGGCGCCTGCGGCGGGCTTCTTCTGCATTCGTTCCAGGTGGAGAACTTGCGACCCAAACTGCGTTCAGTGTACAAATCAAAATGTTCGGCGCCTGCGGCGGGCTGTTTTTGAATCCGTTCCAAATGGAGGTGAAGAGCCCGCGACCCACCCGCGACCCAAACCACGTTGACTGAGCGAGTCACAAATTCGGCGCCTGCGGCGGGTTGTTTTTGCATTCGTGCCAGGTGGACAACTTGCGACCCAAACCGCGTTCAGTGTACAAATCAAAATTGTCGGCGCATGCGGCGGGCTGGTTTTGGATTCCTTCCAGGTGGAGGTGGAGAGCCCGCGACCCACCCGCGACCCAAACTACGTTCACTGAACAAGTCACAAATCCGGCGCCTGCGGCGGGTTGTTTTTGCATCCGTTCCGGGTGGCCCACCAGCGATCCCCCCCGCGCTGAACTTGTCAGAGCACGCAAATC